TTGTGTCATGGAATCCTCCATAACTTATATTGTGAAGGTATAGAATAAGGTAGAAAATGAATGCATTGTAGAAAAAGATGCAGCTGTTCTGCGAATAGGCTGATTAAATTTACATCTTTGAATGGTTTTGTTTTCTTGTTAAAGGTCTTCTAGGAAACTAAAAAGTGAATATATCTACTACTAGTCGTAATTGTCAATTTGTTTAATGTATTTAATATTTATCGAGTTCCTCAACTTGTTTTTGGTGGAATAATGCTTTGATGATCCATTTCAGAGGACTTGGACATTGATATTTGATGATAGATAGTACATGCAGTAAGTTTCTACATTTCTGCAAAGTTGAAATGGTGCAATTTGTGGTTGTAGTGTGACACTAATGTGGAAATGGAGGATCAATTAAGTTCAACAGAACCATTTGATGTTTCTGACAAAGCAACAGCAGAATCAGAAATTGTTTCAAAACCAGTAAGTTTTAAATTATTTGTTTCTATTTATTATTTTTGTTCTTTTCCATCACCAACATCAGAATAAGTAGAATCCTGTATTTCCTACTAACATACCTCTCTTTTATGGTAATTACTTTCCAAAAATAAGGAATTTATCTGTTAGTGTTAGACGTTCTTTGTCTGTGGCCTCAAATGGGAAGTCTGTAGGAGTTGCATTTTATTTGTAGAAGAGATGGATGAAAATTTATATCCTTTTTCTGAGTACATGATATTATTAGATATTACATATTAGTCTTAGGAGGAGTACTTTTAATAAAGGATCCAATCTAACATATTTTCTTCATCCTAAATTATCTCAGCCAGATATTCATTTTAGAAGATGTAGGATAGAAAAGTAGCAGTGGATTTTCTGTAAGTGGTTCAAGAAATATTCAAGGATTTTCAAGTGGAAGAGTTTAGACTGTTTGGATGTTATTGGGATGGGATTTTGTTCATGGCTACCAAGTAATTCCCAACAAATATGTTTTTGAAAGGGATTCTTGATGGTGCTTTGGTATTAAGGTTTTGTTTATTTTGATTTGTTTTATTTGTTTTCTTATAGCTAATATTATTTTCTCATAATTTAGTAAATCTTACAACATAAAAAAGAAAATTTTCCCACTTGATGGGGTCAGCTATATGAATCATATAATACCATAAATTTTTCTCATGTGTAACTAAGCAGATAAACCATTTACCTCTAAGGCCCTAAATCTCTCTTAATGGTTTGACCTATAGTTTTTCTATCTTGCTCTACCTCTAATTATTGGATTCTTTCATCGGGTCAACCCTTCTTATTGGTGCTACTACAAGTCTTCTCCACACATGCCCAAACCATCTAGATGAGACTGCCAATTTTTCTACAATGGGGGCTAACCCAACATTCCAATCTAACTAAGTATAGCATTGCATCTCAGCAACATTAATCTTACTTCTGTTTGCTCTTTACCGCCCAACTCTTAATCCCATATAGTATTGTGGGTCTTAAAGCTGAGTGATAAATTTATCTTTTAAGTTTGAGTGGTACTTTTCTATCTTATAATCACACTCAACACTTCTCCATTTCATTCACCTTCCGGATCCTGTGGTTGACACTTGACTTCACTCCATCTCCCCAATTTTGTATGATGGACCCAAGATGCTTAAAATGTGACCTGTGGTATTTTATGTTATCCAATTTTTTCCTAAGATAAAATGCATGCATCTCTTGATGAACTTGCATTCAATGAACTTGCATTCAATGTATTCTATCTTACTTCTACTTTGGCAAAATTCGTGTGTTTCCACGGCTTCTCTCCAATTCTCTAATCTTTGATTTATTTCTTTTCTCAACTCTCCAACTAAGACCATCCATCTCATATGCAGAAAGCATGCACTGTGCTATTGTTTCTTGGATTAGTTCAGTAAGCATGTCTAGAACCAAGATAAAAAAAAAAACCACTCAAAGTAGATCTAGTGGACTGATGACTACCATAGCTGGTACTCCAAAAAGGGAAGGTAACATGGCAGGATGGTGAAAATGAGAAGGACTAGAATCAGACTGTATGCAGCAAAAGTAGTAATTTAGTAAATCTTATTTCAAGAAATCTATTTAGGAACAAGTTCTTCAAATGATGGCCATGGATATCCACTCTCATGTTGGTAGTGTCTTGCGAACTGACCATACTTATTATCAATTCTAGCCTGTTTAGTTTGTTTTCATTCCTGTTCTTACCTTTGCAGAAAGAACTTCCATTGCGTTTGTATTTTGGGAATGGTCCAAGAATCCATCAGAAGCTGTGTATTGAGTATGGTGTGGTTAATAAATGCTGTGAAGATTGTGGCCAAGTTGGACAGCTAACTTGCTTTTCATCATCATTCCGAAAGTGGGTATGTTATTCTTAACTCTGACTAGATTATCTTAATACAATTATTTAAAACAAGTCTTTATGACAATTTGTTTCTCTTTTTTCTTTTCCCTCTAATACATTTTTAATATGCATTTATGATTTTAGGCTTTAAGGAGGGTAACTAAAGAAGAGCTCAATCAAGTATGCAGCCGCTGTGATGAACGTGGACACAACTGTGTGAACTGTGTGAACTGTGACATTCCTACAACTTACAGATCGGTACTTAAAGCACGACCTACGACCTACTTTTTCTCCCCTCACTTTTTACTAATTGCTAGTATATTACAATCATATTGTTGTGTTTAGAATGAAATTTTATCAAATAACATAACACAAAGAAAGTATGCATGAACAGTAAAAACTTCAAAAAGTAGTTGAAATAATATATGCAAAAGATAAGTCACTAATAAAGAATGATTGGAGATGACAATTAAATGGAACACATGGAAATCTGATAAAATGATCAGGAATTTTATCTGAAACTTGCCATAAAGAGGAGAGTGAAATCTTTGGACGAAAATTAGCTTAAAAAGAACTTAACATGTGGCATTTTTGGCAGCATACTGTTATACAATATATAGATACTATAATTTTTTATTCTCAATTTGTAGGATGAAGTTCCTGTCCCTCAAGGAAGGAAGCCTAAGCAATGTGGAGTCTGTGGTGAAGCAGGACATAACCGACGAACATGCTCAAGAGCAGTTTGAAACTTTGTCTTTTTTGTTCATCAGAACAATGTCTTAACTTTTTCTAGTTTGAAACTTGGTAGAGTTTTGGATGATTTATGCTTGGTGCACAACTTTGGAAGCTATTTATGCCTTCTCTTCTGGTACACCAGTACATATATGATGTTTACCTGAAGTCTTAGTTTTAAGGAAAGAGCATTCATATTGAAGCTTGGTTCATATATGGTGATTTGTTATGCTATATGAATAACCATGCAGCATATATGGTGCCATCAGGTAGTTTAAAATGTTACTAGTTTTTTTTTTCTCTCACTATTCAACAGTTTTCCTTTCTTCATACTTTCTCCCTACAATAATTGATCATAAATAAATTTTGATTCTTCCTAGTGGTTTTGATTTCGTAGGTAATTTGAGTATTACATCATAAGACCTACATAATTTTTATGATTTTTAATAAATTTTAATTAATCATAAACAGTATTTTTGAAAAGAGTGTATTACTAACATTTCTCAACCATTATTTATAAGTAGTAATAAACTATTGTGTGTAACTTATTTTGAACCTAGCCAATAGAAGGTTAATATGCTTGAAAAGGTCATGACTTCAAAATGAAATGAGTCGAATAGCATAGCTTAATGTGCAAGAGAACTCTCTCATTCTCTTGCCAAATCCTGGTGCTTATATCATCCACACGTCATTTTATCATTGGAGGCATGCTTGCACATGATGCAACTTGTCTTTGACGAGTGATTATCTTTTTGAGATGCTAAATACCCAATATGTACCATAGTGTTGTATGTAGCATTTTCCTCCAGTTTGAGACTTCATGTACCCAAATGTTCCAAGTTATCCAAAACACAGATCATAGCCATAACATTTTAATTTTTGGGATATGTCTGATTAATGCTTATGCCATTCCCTACGTCAAATTGACTTGTTTTCAGTGCAGTAAAGCTTTTGCTCCAGCATGTGATAAGATACGTTTCTAACGATTAGCCTAAAGCCTGCTTTGTTCATACTATCATATCAATATATTTTCTCATAATCTTGATTCCTCTCTTCCATTTGCTATCCTTATCCATTAGTGGTTGAGTTCTTGGTTTCAACATTTTTCAGACTTGTTTTAGGCCCAAGAGACTTGCTTGTAATAATAACATTACTTACACTATTAATATATATATATATATACACACACACTAAGCAAATTTATATATACTAGCAAAAAATATTAAGCATTAGGAATATTGTCTACATTATATAATTAATTAGTATAAACCTAGAATATCTTTAATAACAGCTTAATTTTGTTACATAAATGATATGTCAATGAAAACAAACTCAATAATAACATTAGTATATGACACTTTTTATAGTATTAATTAGACTATGCATGTAATAATACAAATGCAACCTAGAGACTAATAGGGATTTCTTTTCTATTTCATTATACAACTCTACGGCAATGGACGAAGAAGAACACAGTGTATACATGTAAATAGATAAACATAAGATGATTTTAACTCATGAAATAAGTTTGATTATTTTTTTACTTAATTTATTTTTTAATTTTATAAGTATCGATTGAAAAGTTTATCCAAATTGAAGAACGTCTTGAACTTTAATATGAATAAATAAATAAAATCTTGAAATTTTTCATGAATAAATAAATAAAAGCAGAGATAGTATAATATAATCTTCCAACATAATAAAAAGTATATAATCATTTGTCTGCGCTACTGCTGATCACATGACACCCTTAATTTCAGCATATATATTTAGAGCACAAAACATTAATCAAACTCTAAAAGTAAATACTTATATATCTACCTTGCCATATCAAGTCAAGGCTTTTTGCAACTTGTTCAAACAAGACAAAGCGATTAAAAATGGACATAATGCTTCATGCATGCAGCATTCAGCATATATACTTGGAGAATAATTAATGTGCAAGAGAGGTTATTTCATCCTCCCTCCAAAGAATCTCAAGGAATTCATATTCCTTCTTTCTTTGACTATTGACACGCCCATACTTGCACCTAATGCATGTTTTTGCTTGACAAGTAAGAAGCTTTTTCAGACACGATTCATTCAAATGGTTTGGAAGTTCATGAATTGGGTACACCACATATGTAGGACTTGCACTAGTTTTCTCCAAAATGAGGCTGTGACATATGTTTACTACCTCCAAATGCTCCAAGCTATCAAGCACACTGAACAAAGCTTTCTTGTTCACCATTGTGCTCCTAATACTTAGAACCTTGAGATTTGGAGTATGCTTGATCAATGCATCAGCAAGCTCTATGCTGAAGCTGCATGTAATTTTCAGTTCATAGAAATTCTTGCAGTATCTTCCAATTGCAGCAAAAACAAAAGGGTGGTTAAAGTTGGAGGTTATAGTCATGGACTCAAGGTTTCTCCATAATTTCATAGCTTGGTACACTCCTGTGTTTGATATGTTTCCCCAGCCTGGTAGAACTAGTCGTTTGAGATTTCGGGTCCTACAAAAGAAGAGACTAATTAATTAAATATATTACCAGTAAAGTAGCTTAAATGGTAATTGTTATTAGAAATTAAGTTCAATAAAATTAAACTTTAATCCTTGGGAATATATACTATACTTAAAGATTTATAAAAGAAACAGTAATAATAAAATCATAACTTACTACTTTTTGTACAATTTTTTTAAAAATAAAAAATAAAGCAAAAGTAAGATGGTATTCTTATAATTATTTTTGAAAGTAAAAAGAATCAAATGTGATGGATCTTAGTTTATAATTAATTTTTTTATATATATGGTTTAGTTTTCAAATTATTTAAACTCATTTTAAGTTACTTCTAACTAGATATAGCAAAAATAGTAGAGGAAAGAGAATTTGAATTAAAAATTACTTGAAGACATAAGGCAAGTTAAGAACACTACCTTTCAGCGGCAGAGACTAAGTGCTCATCTGTTATGGGTATAAAGTAATGAAATATTAAGCAACTTGTATTTCCATTGCTCAGACTAAGAGCATCCTTCAACATTTGAGACAATGTTGCACTTGAATATTCATCAGACCAAGCTAATGGTGTCTTGGACTTATTGTTGCAAAGCTTACAGTTGAGTATACTCATATCAAGCTTATTCCAAATTTCAGAGCTAGAACAAGCTTCACGCCAAGAACGACAAACCTGTGAGACTGCTGAAAGGTCCACAAAAGTGAGGTTCATGAAAATTTTTATCAGAATATCATAGCTCAATTCATTCCAGTTTGCCTTTGATTCTGAGCTGCTTCCCATCATTGTTGAACGTTATTAATTACCTTCATGAATAACACAGATAATTATATTATATGAAGCAGAACTTATTTAAGTTTGTCATTAACATATCTAAATCTGTGTGTGGAGTTAATAATATGAATAAACAATTATAAATAATATCGTACAAAATCCCTTTCAATGACTGTGATGATGACATGACTTGTATTACAATCCAGTCATATATGTTAAGAGATTATTATATTAAAGTCATTCAAGAACTATTACATAACAGATTATACACAAGATTTTATATTTATAAGTTACATGCAAGGGTACATGCAAAAACTTACTCTACCTGTGTTGAATTACAACTTCATTTAAAAGTATGGAGGCAACAAGGATCTTATGTGAAATAAAACTCTAGATTATTACTGTAAGGAAATCAGCTGGAGTTAAAGCATTAGGGAGCTATCAACGGACTAAGAACAACTACACAAGCTATCGACCATTTCTATCACTTTGTAAAAGGGCAGAAATACCCCTTGTAGTTTACACAAATGTATTTTTCTTATCAAAAAAGAAAATTGGACACCAACACATTCCATCTGAAACTTTAGATATTAAATACATCAGTTTTTGTCATTTATACATTACTAAAATTATCCATTCTTAATTAGATTGCTCCTTCCCCCCCCCCCCCCCCCCCCAAAAAAAAGAAACATTTTATTTTTTCATGAAGTTATTCTATTTGCATTCCAAATTAAATTTTCTGAAAGATCACCGATTATTTAATTACCTTTTACCATTTATTTTTTCATGTGGTCAGGGGGTATTAATTGTTCAGGGCTTAATTATCATGCTTTAAGTTATACTATGTAGTAGTATTGTTTTGTATGAGCGCTAACTACTGTGGAAGATATTGCTTAGCATGTTCAATGGATGATCGGAATTGTAAAAGCGGGTTAATTAGTTGATGATAGTGTTCTTTTACTTCTTTTACTTTGTAAGCTTAATATATGCAGATTTGAGTACAACTTGTTCTCAAGTTTGCATTTCTTATCAATAAAATTCCTTTTGCTAGTAAAAAAAATGTTTTTTTAATGAAATAATTGAGGTGGTGCCAAGAGATGATTTAAGAGAAAGAAAACACATACTCCATGAAAAGCCAAAAAAAGAAAAAGAAAAACATACCTCTTGTGCTCTTTACAGTCAATTGAGGAAGCTGTTTGATGGTCTTTTCTTATTCTTAGATATGGTGATGAGTAGTCTGAAGAGAAACGGGGAATAACATATATGCACAAAAGCCTCAACCTTGAAATTCAAAAAGCTGCTTTTCCTATGTAACGACAATGTAACAACTCAACTTATGGCATTGGGATTACCATTCACAATGTTCTTATCGTGTATTCACATGAAGATTGCAGTGAGCAACTCAAGGTTCCTTTTATTTGTAACGTTTGGTTCTGCCTTGCATGCATTGCATGGCAGTGTGAATAACATGTGACCCCTTGTGCTTTTGTTATTTGTCATCAACCTAAGTATATGCATTTCATTAATTCAACTATTAAAAATTAAATTTGTATATATCTTTTATTTTTCACATGTTTTTTTATATACACATTCCAAAAAGATAGCTTGAATATAAAATAAAAACATATAATTATTCCTTTTTAATAATACGAGAATATTGTTATTAAACATGTGTAGAGTTAAAATTTAATAAAAATGATAATCAGTATATAAATTTTACTTCTAATTTAATGAATCTGACTCGTATTTTTAAAATTCTTAAAAAAAATGTAAAAATAATTATGACTACATAAAAAAAATTCAATAATATATTCCTAAAATTTTGTATTATTGATTACGATTTTTTATTGAATTTTAAAATTAATATTTGATAATTAATTAAAATCACTCCATTTAGTTTGAGAGATTCTCACTTTACATACATATACTCATGTACATGTGCATAAACGCTAGCTTTATACACGTGTATGCACACATAAAAATTATATCTAATGAGTTTTTTTAATATACGAGATTAAGATAAACAAATCTTGATCGTTAGATTTTATTCTGAACAGTTTAAGATTAAAAGATACAAATCATATGAATTTTTGAAAAAGTTATGTAACTTTTTAAAGTAATTATATATTTTTAAATCTTTTAATTTTAGCCATTTGTGTTTCATTATGCAATCTATATTTATTCTTTTCACTCTTACATAAAAAAGTTTATCTGCCTATACCCTCCTACAAATAAAATTATAAAAATATAATTAAATATTTTATTACAATATTAAATAGTCAATTCAACCACAAAATGAATAAACTTTGTTATTGAATTAATTAAATAATTTTAGGAATAAATTCAAAAAATTGAAGTAAATACTTTTACGTGTTCAACAACATTAAATGTTATTGAATATTTTAAAATTTACTAGAAAATAAATACTTAATAAATTAAATTTTTACAACAATAAATATAATTATTTTATTTAATATTTAATATTTAAAAGAATCAGTTAGAAAGATGAAAGATGATTTGCTAATTATAGTATTAGCCAAATACTAAACCCTTTTGTTCAATATCTTAAAAATGGCATGATATAAATGTTCCTTTTTTCACTTAATTTATATCTATATTTTATATAAAATTTCCTTAAAAACATATAATATAACTATAATTTCAATATTAATTATTTTAAGAATTAATTACATTATTATCTTTAAGAATATAATTTTAGGGATAAATAATACTTTTTGGTAACAGTATTTGAAATCATTGTTGACAATTTTGTTAAATATATGTGGTATTTAATTATATAGACTTTTCAAATTATAGAAATGGGTCAATCAATGCATAGTCAAAATACATTACAAAGCTGTTTTTCTTTTCCCATTTACTTTATTTACACAAAATGCGACTGTTAACAAATAAAGAATGAAATAATTACTAATAATATATCAAATGTTAATAGAAAATTTCCTGAATTTTTCATTTCACACAAATAAATAATTAAATAATTTTGTATTTTTCAGACATTAATAATAGTATTTTTATTTATATATAACACTTTGTAATTTCTTGTTCATTGAAACAAATGTTTTGATTTTCACCTAGAGATTTTCAAGTAGGAGGAACGAGTAAAGAGCAGAGGGCAAACCATAACTTTTTCATTGTTTATTTTAGACCAAACAATACCTATAGTACTGCACCTAACTTTTGTTCTAAAAGTAATTGTATATAATATCATAGACGGTATTAATTAATTTTTAATTGTTCAAATAACAGAGATGTTGATAAAATAACGTGTCTATACTTTACTTTAAACAGGTTTACTCTGGCCATTTTGGCCACCAAATTTTGTCAGTTAAACTAGCGATATTAGGCTTGGTATTACAAACTCAGCTTGGTTTCAACTATGAATCCGAATTGAATATAGTGCAGTAGCTAGGTGTAGTTTCCTTGTTAATTCTATTATTTCGCAGTATTTGCTTCAATTTTCTGATTGAAATGCTCAGTATTGAGGGAAAGAAAAGAAGGTCTATCTTGAAAACAGTCTTTCACAAGGGTGATTTGTTACTACACTATCCATAGAAACATTATAGCAGATAACAAAAACACTATATTGTCAACCTTATTGAGGTATCTGCTGACACTGGCTGATATACATCATTTTTAACTACTGATCAGTGATCACTGATAACTGAGCAGTTACACTCTCACTATATACACTTTGAGATTTTTATGGGAAGACTAACTGCTATTAAACTAGTAAAGAGAGTTGTAAGTGTAAAAAGTAGCAATAATGGATGAAATGCAGATGAGAAGTGCAGGGAACAAGGTGGTATTCAGGAGTTTATTTTCATTCATATATCCAGAGATTGTTATTGTTCCATCAGCAATTACTCGAGCTAGAGTTCCAGCTTCTGTTGACAACAATCCTCCATTATAGGTACCACGAGAAAGCCTTGATGACATCATTTTTGATAGAAGTGAAAGGTTCACTCCTGGGTTGATGGAGCAAACAAATAAGATGGTGTGTTCAAGGAGCATTTCAGCTTCAGATTTTAGCACAACATGTGAAAAAATTTGTGTAATTGATTATCTAGCAATGATTGATAAGGCAAACAAATGGATGTAAAATGTTTTTAGATGAGAAGGAAAAACACCACCCTGAAATTTAATTGCCCTGAAATTAATCGTCACATTGAAGTAGACTGTAAGGTTATTGCAAATAAAAGGCAATATAACTACCGTTTTGTTTACTTTTTTAATCCTCAATAAGTGAGAAACAGTCAACCAGTTTAACAGTTAATGGACTTTGTTCATGCAACACTTTAAATTTCTTAAATGATCTTTTAAATGGTTTTGGTGATACCATAACCAGCCTTATTGCATGATGGTTACAAACTACTTCCCTATTCATATTTCATTGTCATCAGAGAAGCAGTGCAGTTTTCATCTGATGATGCAAAGTTGTCAGTAATCCTTCTACGTCTACCCATTCCTGTTTTATTTATTAATATATAAATTTTGCAAATTACCTTCAAGAACTTCAGCAGACACAAATGTAATAAGGGCCGATCCAACATACTGAGTCACTGAATAAGGGGTCATTACATGGAAGCTTAGGAGTAGTCCAATGCAAACCATGATTTCCGATGTTAGTAGAACTTGCCTGCAAGTTGAAGCCAACCAGAAAGGAAAGATAAAATTTGTGAGAAAGTGAGAAAAAATCGGTAAGACTTTTCATTTTGAGATTGCAGACATCATCTGTACCATGGACTCCCATTTTAAAATGTGCATCAACCCATGAGCAACTTGCTAGATTTCTTATTACAAATAAAACCCTGAAGCCTTTTAAGATCAGAAACAGAACTGTTCAAAACAGGAATTTTAAGGATCATAAGGAATTTAAAGCCAGAAGTAGACATTTTGTAACATTGACTAGAGTCTATTTAGGTCCAATACAATTAGCAATTCCATGAGGTTTATATTGACTGGTTTTGTTTTCTGTAAACAGGACTGGATTTCTTTAATGGACTACGGTTCATTATTAATCCACTGTCTAGTCACTAACATGAAACAATGAATAGTACAAATTAAGTTTAATTTTGAGGATCATTAATAAGTAGACAATTTCTTTTCACTAATACTTGAAGTCTTACCTTTCTTCAAACAGGTTGCTGATGTAGTTTCCAATAACAATATTTACAGGAAGCACAGTAAGACCCAGGCATGCGAGGAAAATGGCTACATTGCTGGTCGACCAAATAAAATAATATTCGGTGACAAGGCTTGATTCAGCAAGTACAATCTCCATTGCATATTTAAGCATAAAATACACATACAATTGAACCTGATAAAAACATTTATAGTTAGTGCAAAAGATTGAATGAGAGTTCATAGTCTCATAACAAAGATAATGGCTTCATAATCATATTAAATAAGGTTCGAAAAGGAAGAAAATATGTAGAAAATGTTTGAAATCATAACATGGGTTTCTCACCTTCACTGATGGTGTAAGTAATTTATATGCCACAGCAATAGAAGTGACAGGTTTCCGAGTTTCTTCAGCATCGTCATTTTCTTCTTCTCCATCTTCATCCTGCTCTTTTACTTCTGAGTTCATTAGTAATGGTTGTGTATGCCCATTCTCTACTGCAACATGCACTGCTGGTCCTATTAACAAAGTGAAAAAACAACTAATTAAGGATGAAGCATAAAATAAAAAACAGAATACATAAAATATCTGACAAAGTGAGAGAAGTAGCACTTTGTATCAACTTCATGCCTTTTAGGTGTAGCAAGACTGATTACTGAATTTACTAGCATGGAATCTAAGAACTAAACTATGTGAAATAGGATATGTCAGAAAACACTGGACATACAGTAATGATACACTGAGCCAGATTTACAGGAGAAAGTTACGTAACACAAAACTATGAAGTTAACCTGATCTATGTAAAGAAATAGTTGGCTCACTACAACTAACTGTTTAACTTGATCTATCCTTCTACTTTGGGCAAACAGATTTTATTTCTTTCGTTTTAGTTTTCTCTTTCAATGTGGTAGAGATTGATGTTCCAATCTTGTGCCTTGGGAGACCAAGTACCCGGTACAACCATTAAGGTGAGGAACAAAAAAGGAACTGGGGAGAAAATCAAAGAAAATAAATTAACATACAGAATTATTTCAATGTCTATCTGTTTAATAATTAGTGAAACTGCAGCAGTGTTGTGACTATAAAATCCTTGAAGACCACGAAGACAACGTTGGACGATACTTATGGAAATAAGAAAGGTAAAATTCTGAATGGTACCCAACACTTCTAGTAAAGTTTTCAGTCTTTTTTATTCATCTGCTAAGATCTAAAGGGATGGAGATGTGTGTCACGAAATGAAAAAACAATCATGATAAGAAAAAATTAATCTTGTAGTCATTTATTGAACTTTGTTAGACATAAAGAAAACCAAAATGAATTTCTCTCATTATAGAAAAACAAAAACCAACAGTATTCTTGGCACATAGGCCTACTTCAAGCCAAAAAGAAAGGTTCTGATATTGAAGAAGGGGAAATGATAACAAGTTTCAATACCATTATTAATGCAAAGTGAAAAATGACAAGGGGAAGAAAGTTGATAGGAAGGAAAGAACAGTAAATATAAGTGACTTCCATATAACAAAAGGAAACAAGTGATCTCACTGTCATACCAGCCTCTGCTTGATATGGCACAAGAGTTCCTTCAGTCTCAAGGGTGGGCTCCTTGAAACACATCCACAACCACAGTAGATAGAGAAGCCATGCAAGAGCCATTACCCATCCAGGTAGAGTGTCTTGGTTCATGGTGAACCTGTAAATCCTAAAATTTGTCTGTAACAAACAAGCAAGAGCTGGACCACAAGCCATTCCCAGAGCACTTGCACTAACAAAAGCTGCCGAAGCCTGCATTCGAAGTTTCAATGGTACACAGTCGCTGATATAACGCCTGTTAACAGCCCTTGCAGAGCCTAACCTGAAATATCATTATATTGATCACAAGTTCACAACGATTGTGTCAAGTTAATAAAATTGGAAATTACTTTTCAAAACAATGAAAACATGCATCCACATTTTTTATTTTTAAGATAACGTTTGGTATACATGTCAAAATGAGATAGAACATAACATATGACTTCTATTTGATGTTTGGCTCATTTTAGAAAGAGAACAGAACAGGGAATGAGGTTGAAAAGTGGTACACCTTGGTTGCACTAAAATGGGTAAATGAAACCAAAGAGAACAGATCTGTTTAGTCAACATGCCAAATGCTACCTAAAATTTCTTAATGGTCAAAATAATATTTCTGTTAAAGAATGCTAAGTTGCACATTAGTATAATCATAAATATTCCAACTGTAAGCAGCACTCATATGAGTCATAACATGTAGTCTCACATTTAAGGTAGTTGGTCAAGAAAAATGGTATTTTTCTACTTTCACAATTATAAGTTTCAATAAAAGAAACATATTTAGATAGAGAAAATTTACCTATGTAAAAATTTACAACATTACTTCATAAAATGCTACATTTTCTTACCAATTAATCAAGAGGATATGCAAATAATGCAATGTCTCTGTAATATAAGACATCAGTTTACTTTTTTTTTTATTAATCCACTGTTTCAGGTACATATGGGGGATTGTTTTAAAGCGTCTATCACCAGGTTTAAATAAAACAATTTTGACCATCCATGCATGGTTATGGTCAAGATTAACTCCCCTCACTTCTAAATAGATATGCTCCCATACACACACGCAAGTTTATATATCTTAGGTAAATCAGAGATAGTGATTATTTAAAGTCTAAGTCTACACTAAATTATGATAAAATATACCAGAATCTGAAGTAGCTATGCTTTACTAATAACATAGGTCCAAAAGTTGAACAAAGATATCCTGGAAATTTTGTGAAATGATCAACTGGCTTTTATGATATGTAGCAGTCTTTTTCTACCAAGCAAACAGCATCTAAGTTTCCAAAATGTGAAGTATGAAACAATGAGTGACAAGAACAACTTACCCACAGAAAAGGCGTCCCACCAGTAGAACTACTAATGAATTCATATCAAAAGCCAGTGCATATAAGGTGTTTCCGATTAGAAGAACAATGCTACTGAATATGAGTGGTCTTAGATATGATCTATTTGACCATGCACTGAAATAAACTGAAGAAAACACTTGTGCAACGGCCATTGAACCGATGACCACACCACATACACTTGCTGCAGCTCCAAGGCTCAAAGTGTAGTTGTCTGCTGTAGGTACAATTATGTAAGTGTTGACCATATACAAAAATGTATTCGCCAAGTTCAAAAGAAGTGACATAAAATGATATCTTTCATCAACACTATGATCTTCAGATGGAGATGGAAGCTCCTCTTGGATGATAAAAGCATGTTTTCCCAAGAACTGAAGGAAGTTTGTTGAGTTTGATAATCTGTCAACCGCTACTTTGATAAAATCAAGAACAGGATCCTTCAAGAGATTATTGGTATTAGAGCAAACACAATAGATGGTAGTGCTTAGCAGTATCAAGCATATAATGGATCAAGAACTAACTTGATGACTGTAAGAAGGTTGGTCATATATAGAAATATAGCTTCCTTGACATTGTTGTAAATCTTGAAGGTCTGCAAGACCATGAGATAAGACTCCAACAACAGCCCCAATGCCCTGCAAAGAAGATATTACATAATACTGCTTCAAACAGACAAAGTGAAGACAAAAACAAACTATTGCATAAAGAGCATGTTACATTTAGTAATATTAATGTTGTAACATTAAATGGTATGATAGATCCAGTTTCAAATAACTTGAAAAATATGAAAAATGTGGTATTCAGGGGTAGCAACATTACCACATGCCTGAAAACCTGCCTTAACTGGGAATAAGGATGATTTGCGCGCGTCTTGACATAATAATCTGTGAATTTATAGCCAAACCGCTTATCAATCTTCTTCAAGATCTTTCTCAAACCAACAGCATTTATTTCCACAAAATTAAGAAGCCTTAAAAGATCTCTTCCAACATCTCTATATGCTTCTTGAAGTTCAGAGATGCTGAAACTATTTGGCTGCTGGAAAAGAGTATGGTGGTCTTGTCCAATATCTGACAGCCTATGTGCAAGTACTCCTTGTTGTTCAAGCAGAAATAAAACTATTTTTTCTATCTGAAATTCAAGATCAAGGAAAGATTATTTAGAATTCATTGACTGTTATATGGGATAATATATGATTAAATGGAGTCTTAAACTCAAATTTTTTAACATTTCAAGTGACATTTTGCTAACACACAAGCTCTCTGGCTCTCCCTTCCCATTGTTGCAAAACAAGTACCCTAAAGTACAAGTTCTATGCATGGAAAATTGACAAACTGAACGAATAAGTAGAAGAGAGCATATGTGTGTTCAAGTATTACACAAGGGAAGTGCTCAGTTTTGGTTTGGTTTTCTACATTTACTCATTTTCTAAACTTGTTGAATGTATGTCTTTCAATTTTAAAGAGGACAATATTAAGGTACACTATTTTTTACCTATTATATAAAAATGAAAAACATGTCTTGTGCCCTTTTCTTAAAGCATCTTCAGTAGTCTGACAAATGTATACAAACAAAAACAGATGGGTTGAGCTTTTTCATACAAAAGTTGAATATGTATTGAAAAAGTAGCCCATATTTAGCCACATAAGTGAGAACATTTAGGTGCAGTTACCTGATTGTCTAGCAGCAATGAGAAATCTCGGAGAACATTATGGCGATTTTGAGCTCCAACCTCCATTTGTTCTATATATCTCTTGACTTTCTTCTTCATTAGCTTATAGTTGATATAATATCTGAATAAAGTCAAAAGAATGCGTTACCTGAATTGAAACAATCATTTCTCGCTTTGGTGCAAGTAATATTACCACCATTGAACAAAAGCAAATGGGTTCAAACTATGATACACAAAATAGAAAAGTATGTCATTTAAAACATTAGGTTATTTTAACTGTATTAACGTTCATTAATCATGCCAGAAAAAACAAAAAAGAGAATAAGACCAGGTTTTGCATGATATTAATATAAATAAAAACCCTCAAGAATTTTCTAGTAACTGGTCTCAGTCAAACAAATGTACCCTTTCCATTCTTGAATTTGTGATTCTCTCAACTTCTTGCCGAAGCCAACCATACTTCAAGAAAGATAGTGTACTGTAGTAAACCAGGAACAAGAATTAAGACACCTACAAAGCTACATAACAACTTCAGGCTTCATACGAGTGTTGAAATGGAAGCAGAAACCTGATAATAATAGCAGCTACTCTCTTTCGTCTTGGTGATCAATATCAACACTTCAATTGGCAGACCCCAAAAAGATGGAAGACATGTAAAGCTACAACTTCATGGACTTTGGTAGCTGAAACCACATTTGCTAAGCTCAATTAGGAATATTTTACTTAACAATCATAAGGAAAGCATAACATCAAAAGAAAAGAGCAAATTCAGTGAAAAACTCTGATCTATCAGAAAAAAATCACCACTAAACTCAAAACTCAAAACAGAAAAAGAGGATTGTGTAGAAAAAAAGGTTGAGCATGCCCAATTGATTATTTCCAAAACTATATGATCCCAAGAAATGAGGAATCAGAAGAGTAAAAAAATCAATACCAAGATTCAAAATTTGAACACCCTTAAAATGTTATCCATGTCATTGTGAGGGACGTGGGTCTAATGTATTGTAGTACTATTGCATTGTGTGCTCAAGTTTCTTCAGCAACAACAATAATAGTCAACAAAAACAATTCAGAAACTCAAGTTCCAAGCTACTTAAATGCATGTCACTGAAAAGGGTACAAATGAGAGTCACAAATATTTAAGCACCTACCACATACATTATTTTAATATTTTAAAATTGAAATTGTACGTAATATTATATATATATATATATATATATATATATATATATAATTTTTTTAGTATATACTTTTTCTTTTTTAGAAGAAATAAATAAATTTTAAAATTAATAAAAAATTATATATCATAAATTTTAAAAATATTGATAGTACTCTAATCTTTTTTATAAAAATTAATTATATTAATTTTTAAATTTTGTTAAGTTCAACTTTAAGTTTAAGCATTTAAATATAATAAATTTTTATTTAAAGAACATAATATTTCCCAACACCTTTTACTCTCTAAGTGACGACAAATGCTTTCTTTTTTAATAAATATTTACTACTTATTTATATATATAGTTACTTTTTATTGATATTGATACATTTAGGGACAAGTTTAATATTTTTTTTTAAAATATTTTATTATAAAAAATAAAGACATATTTTAAATGCATTAATTATTAAATATTTATATCTTATGTAATAAGATAATCATCCATTATCCATATAAGTAAATACATTCATTTGTTATATAAAACATTAATTTAATTATTTAGTACTATAAGTATTTCTAAAATAAAGCATAAAATTTTGACATATAATTATATTTTATTAATATTGATAAATTAGGTATATATTTTCTTATAATAAATAAAATATTGACTACCAAATTGATTAGTTGTACATTAAATGAATGATTAAATCTACTTATACGAGTGAGTGGCTTGTTGACACAAATCTCATTATATATATATATATATATATATATATATATATATACTTGGAATTAGGATAAAAGAAAATGAGACTCACTGTACGGAGAACCTACAGTACTTCACTTGACAAACACCTTAGACTTGAGCATCAACATAACATAACAAAACTGTATTTCAATTTTTATTTTTTTATTCAAATAACTTTTCATATATATATTTTTTATGACTTTTAATGCTTAAACGGGAGCTTTTTTAAGAATAATCTTCAGCATTTTCGGGCGTTAATTCTTTTTCTGCATATGACTGTTTTTATGGATGGAGCATTTTTAATTCAATCTTTATTTTAATTATATATTTTTATAATTTATTTTTTAATTTTAAAAATTCTATAGAAAGAAAAAATAAAACAAATATACAATGGACATTTTAATTTTTTTTAAAAATAGTTGTAAAAATAGATTAATTAGATTTGTCTAATAATACTAGTTAAAGTGCCAATGACATGCTTGAGATCTCAAATGATATGATGTAGAAATATATTTAAATATTGATTTTTTGCCACTCAACTAAAGAATTATCACACATGGGATCCGGATTGCTAAGAATCTCATTATGAAAAGAACGACCACTGAGTAAAACTATTGATTTATAGCTTCTTTAATTTGGTTCGTGCTACATGCCTACATCTACGCATGTTAAATAAAAGCTATTATAGCTATGCTTGGTGAACTTGTAAAAAAGTTTGTATAAAAAATATAGAATTATTTTTTCATAAATTTATCTCTTCAAGTTTTAAAAAAAGTTAAATAAGATAATTTTTTTAGATATTCTAAAAAGACAGACATATAAGTAACTTATGAGAATTTTTTTTAGTAATTTTTTTCCCATAAGAACTTCTTGAAAATTTTACTTAAACAAGACCTATGTATAAATTTTTAATATTAAATATATGTTCACATAATATTTATGTGTATCAAAATATACACTTTGAGAAAATCTTAACACATACACTCTTAAATTCTAATTAATTAAGCAACTAAACCTAGTTTTAAAATATTTGTGGAGGTAAAATATTAGTTATAGTTATACAACTAAAAAATGTTTTTCTTTTTAGCATCTTCAATAATTTTATATATGTATTTTGAGATAGTATATATATATATATATATATATATATATAAAATGATAAAGATTAAGTTAATTAGAGATAAAAAAAAATTCCGATAATATTAATTTGTAAGTGTCTAATAAATTGTCATACAAATACAACACACACAAGTTTAGATAGTTTCCATTAGGTGTACAATGTAATAAGAGAGAGAAAGGCCCAATGACTAATAGGAAAATTGTTAGTAAACACTTAAATGCACCGTGAGAAATATAGGAGTTAAGTTAAATAGGTGGTCTTTTGAGGCCACACGTACACATGCATATAGATACACACATATACATCCATACAAAATTCTTGTTTTGAGAAGCATGTACAAAAACAAGTGCAACAGAGCTTGTTGCCACAAGTGGCTTATCCGTTGCTAGGACTATGTATAGCTAAATATTGAGAAATCATGTATCAAATAATATGTAAGCAAAATACTATTTTGAAGCACTAATAGCAGTTAATAAAAATTGCTTTGTAATTATATATTTAGAAAGCGGTTCTTTATTAACCGTTTTCAGATCTATACTTCTAAGAGCGGTTCTTTGTTAACCGTTCTCAGAATTATACTTCTGAGAGCAGTTCTCTATTAATCACTCTCTAAAGTCATACATTAGATAGCGATTAATAAAGAATCGCTCTCTAATCTCATTCTTGAAGAGCAGTTAATAAAGAATCGCTCTCTAATGTTATTAAAGTCATTTATAAATGAACACGAACACGCTCAACGCATTTCTTCTTCATAGCTAACAAAGTTGGTTTCTTTCACTGTAAATTTCTTCTCTGCTCTCTTATGTTTTCTTCATCTTTTCGGTTAGTCTGCTCTCTCCGTCTTTTCTTGCTAACAAATTAGTTTTCTTGTCCATCTGTGAGTACTTTTCATTCTTTGTGTGCTCTTTTCATCTTCTTTACGCTAACAAATTAGTTTTTTTCACATCTGTGTGTATTTCTTTATTCTCTCTTTCTTTCTTCTTCTCTTTGTTAACAATGAATCATCCAATCTCTCTTTCTTTCTTTTTCTTTCTATTAATGTTAAAAATTATCCTATTAATTTGTTCTCTTTTTTCTTTGCTTACTTGTGTTTTGTTTATGCAGATGTGGATTACTTGGTTAACACTAAATATATAAACTCAAGATTTATTTTTGATTTGTAATAAAAATGAAAAAAACTCACAAAGAAATTAATTCTAAATTTTGATTTAAACGTAATAATAAATTTTTATTTTGCAACAGAAAACTCACAAAGAAATCAATTTCAAATTTTGCAGTTTAAATTTATATTTTGGAGAGCGGTTTCATGCAGAACCGCTCTCTAATGTTACACTTATACTTTAGAGAGCGATTCCGCCTGGAACCGCTCTCTAATCTTAATATCTGATAGCAATTCTTTAACCGCTCTCTTAAATATAATACATCAGATAGCACAAGATTTTAAAATAGTTTTAAACGCTCTCTAATTCAAAACAGAACCGTTCTTATATCTCCATTTTGGGATAATCAATGGCCCCGTTATTCTTTTATAGTAAAGACTTAAAGAGGTTGTAATTGTCAATCTAAGACAGAAAGGTACATTCACTCGTATAAATAGTATAACAACTATTTCTTTTGATCTATATATAATCTACTTTTCCTTGTTTGTGCTTCTTTTTCCTACCACTTTATGTTAAAGTCATGTCCTCTAGTTGATATATGAACCAAAAGAATCCATATTGGCACGGGGTTAGAGACATGAGTCTCACACTGCCAAGAGACTTAAAAAGTGTTCCTTGAACAATGACATCACACTTATAGTACACATGGTATTAGAAAAATGAGCCTAAGCCTAACTCACCTTTAAAAAGTAGCTCATTGAAAACGTTTATTCAAATCTTATAAGCAGTGTTCTAGTTATATTCCTAAGAGACGTGGAATATGTTATAACACATCTCTCATGCTCACATATGATAAATTTTGAAACTATTATAGAATAAATGGAGGTCACTCAAGTTTAAAGTTCATTCTCTCTCCTAATCATAGATCAGGCTTACATTCATTTTAATACATGACTCAAATTACATCCACCAAATCGATCTGGTGATCAGATGCCAGATGATTTTTTAAAGAAGTTATAGCTGCTATAAGTAGCGTAGGATTCTAAATGTGAATTGTATATTTTCAAAAAACAAAAAAAGCACATTCAAAACAAGGATATACTATACTTGGACTTACAATAGCTGAGATGAAGATTGAAGATAACATTCCATAAGTGTGACCCTTTTGCTTTAGGCACTTGAGTTTTGAGAGGAGCATAGCTCAATGAAGCAAAATTTACCTGGAAGCAAATATAGAAAGTTTACAACCAAATGCATGTGGTAGTGTTAAAAAGCATGTTAGAAGCTCCTAGATATATATGTAACAAAGTGAGGGACTTGACAGTCAACAAATCCTAGAGGCCAAACTCACCACTACTTTACTGCACTCATGAGGGCACTCTCTTGGCTTTTAGAAAAACAAAAGGCCACATCCACATGCTATCCATTCCAAAATCTCTATGACATTTATAGCATGGTAATAATCACCAGGATGATTTTGATAAATAATTGTTTACCAAACTTTTTCATCAATAGTGGACATGTTTTGTCCTCAGTTCAAAAGTGGCTTTAAGCAATTCACTTCTTAATTTTAACTAATTTTGTCCATGTTTGTCAATAATAAGTGTTATATGTCCCTTTTGCTCCACTCTTTTATATCCTTCAAAAACTAGTTTATGTGTAGCATGATTTGTGTCCTTCTTGTATTAAAAAAGTGAACAAATAAGTTTTTATTTTCATATATTTTAAAAATATTATTACACTAATTTTAATACATATCAATGAAAACACTAATAATTTAAAATTTTTTAGATAAGAACTTTCAATCAAACACTGGATAAATTTGAAATAAATTAATCTAATGAAAAAATATTGAAAAAAATTGTAAAAATAACTTTGACTTATACTTAGCTAAATTGATATCTCTTTTAGAAACTTTATATTTGTTTCATAAAATGATAAATAAATACTTCAAAATTTCCTAACAATGTTTCAGGTGTAAACATGAGATTTATTTATTTCTTTATTATTTTTGAGGTCGTCAACATGTGATTTTGGATACTTCCCAAATAGAAATTTGTGCAATAAGGACACAACAAAATCTAGTATAGGTCCATTATTTTGTGGCAGATGCTGAGGTGTCCCTCTCTACTGTATCTATTTCACGTGCCTACTATTTTTTTATCCATAATTTGTATGTTCCACAGAGAATATTCTTCATCTATCCATATCAAAATAATGAATAATATGGATGGTCTCCCTTTTTCCCACATTTTCTTTGCTTTAGTTTTCTTTAAACTATAAATGTGGGCCACTCACACATAGATAAGAGCCTGCCAAGCTGATGTGCTGTCTAGAAGTTACCCGTTAGAAAGAAAATTTTGCCAAAAGGAAGTGACAAATTTCAATTGTGGTAGAAAAAAAATATTAATATAAACCACGCGTAAATAGTATTCATCATATATGGTAGCTGATTTTATTTTATTTTCATCATTTTTTTTAATGTCCTAGAATCAGTGAGAAAGTGAAAAACTCAATACTTTGGTTTGGCTATTTGTGACATTTAATTTGATCAAGGTTGAGCCTAAAGGGCCTATAATCTGCAAGATATATAAAGGCAAAAGGAGTGCCTATTATTTTATTGGTGTGTGGAAGGATAAGTTTTATCACCCAATTAACTTTGATTTTAGTGGAAGACTAAACTTAAGGTGTGAAAAGAGTAAAGAAAATCTCATGATATATGGCTAAAAGATAACATTTTGTTTTGGTGTGTATTTATGTGTTTAAACTTGAAAAAGATAAAATAAAAATTAGTATATATTACAAAAGTACTTCAACTTGGGGTTTTTTCCCCCCTTCACTTGTTTGATGGCACAACAAAAATACTTCTTTAAAAGAAACATGTCAACAACAATGCTAAAGACACCCCTAAGCGTACACTTCAAAAAAAAAGTTTTAGATTATATCTCACCTTTTTAAAGAAGAGAAAGATATAAATTTCATTATGTAAGTAACTCAGCAATCCACGTATAGGGGGCCACAATTATCTATAACAGAATATTATTATGTTCATGATTAAAGAAAAATAGGTTATCAACTTTTCTTTAACGTCGTAGATTATCCACTTAAATTCCTAACAATTTGGTGTGTACTTGCAAGTTGAAATGCAATTGCTAATATTAAATAATTAATAAGCCTAAGCAAATAGTATAACCAGAAAAAAAAAATTGTATTTATAGTTAATTTATGCTAGTGGGAAGCCTTGCTTTCTAGATACAAGTGTTAGGCTAAGATTTTTTGAGTAGGTATGATACTTTGTTAAGTTCCAGATTCGTATCGTTAATTTTGTTACTCACTGAAAAATATCTTTAGCTAGTCTTTGTACTCTTTAATTATTAAACTTCAACATGCTACGTATGAGCTTGCTAATGACAAGGATTGTCATGAGTGATGATGTTCTAGTTCTGCACTTTTTAGCATATAAATAACCTTATTTTTCACCTTTTGATTTGCACTTCTAGTGATGATGTTGTAATATTGAAGAAAGCTAATTAGAAGGCCAAAGTGCACTAATGGCCCCCCAAAAATGAACAAGTTAGTGTTATTTAAAAACTAATGATCAATTCGTAGTTATCTTCAAAATATTTTCTCCTTGGAGGTGTTTTTCAACATAGGTAACTCTTAGGATTTTGTTTTTTTTAAGGAATTGAGTTTTTTTTATTAATTGAATTAATGAAAATGAATCTAAATAATAATGAGAAAGATTTCTCCTCCGAGGATTTTTATTTTGTAGAAAACTGAAATCTTCTCTAGTTAAATAATATACTACACTCTTAACTCTATAACTCTTTTATTCCTACCCTTCCTCCTAATAATACCACACCATGAAATTTAACCTCATCTTCAAGGTCGCCCTCCCATTGGATCCAATTAAAACAAAGCTTGGTTAACAAGATTTGGGCCTGGCCTATTTGGTATAGAAATGCTTTCATATTTTTTGATGGTCGATGCTTCTTTTTGTCTATTTTTGGTATAACCTGTTTGCTATGATTTAAAATGAAAAAGTTGTTTACAATGACAACACCTATGTAGTGTAGACTCACCTTAGTTCAACTATAATGACCCATTGGCTCTATTACATGTGAGCTAAATAGATTTGCAGCCACAATTAATGGTGGTGGGGACATGGTTGGACTCTGTCTAACCTAAATCTCCATCACCTTTACCCAAAAAGTTTCATACTCCAATGGAAGTATTTATATCTGGAGAGAGAGAAAAATTATATAAATGTAATAAATAATATGATATGATAAAAAGAGAGAGATTAAAATAAATAATAATATATTAAGTGTAATACTATTTGAATATTTATGAATTATAATTTCCTCCGTCCACTCCCTCTACCTCTCCTCATCGTTGTGCCATCAATATTGCATCATAACCATACAATTGCACAATCAAAGTTGTGAACTAAACAAATTCTTGCACAATTGCACTTGTGAACCCAATTAACGCAACACATCTTGTTCGGCCAAAAGAAGATACTATTATGTATTGAGATTCTTCCTTTAATGGAGGGGTAAACATAAGATAATTATGTCATGAAAGACAAAACAAAACTTTGAGTGTACTCATAAATGTGGTCCATTTGAATTGTCCATGAGACTTTCAGTTCAATTAGGGGTGCACCAATTGCAAGATTTTGCAATCTCTTCATGAGATCAAATTTAATTCGAAACTGATAATGCACATGAGGAGTACCAATCCCATCTTAGCATGGCTTATCTTATATTTTAATATTGTTTTTGTGTCTTGGTTGTTTCCTCCATTTATATAATAAATTAACCTTCAGGTCATCACAACCCACGTTGAGTTTAACCACAACACTTGAGTTTCCTCATAGTACATAGCCTTTTGGTTAACACCCGCGCCCCATTATAGAATTCTACTTCACCTCTACTCCAATAACACCAATATTAGCAACTTCATTCCTTTGGATCTTAAACTATCGATTATGGAGTGCCCAAATGAAGAACTTGATTGAGAGTACTAAGACCTTAGCAAATTTATTAATGGAAACATTTGCACTATAATTGCTTTGGAGTGCTTCTCCTCATATCGGCTTTGTCATGACAATAATAAACTAAATCTTTAATTATATTTTTCCACTGGCACAAATCTGATCCACTAATTTGTTCATGGATAACAAGTTGACTCACGAAGGAAACTCTTTAGCCTAGCAGTGGATTTTGAGATATATATCTCGTGAATCATGGTTTAAACTCCAAGATAATTTTGCTCATTCATTAGTGGAACGCGTGTTCCTCCTCAAACAACTAACCACCTAGCTGATCGATAAGTTTTGATCTATAGATAAAATGGAATCATGTTATCCTAAATAGAAGAAAAGTCTTGATTTAAATGAGTGTTCAAAACTTCCTTGGCTATAGCTATCAAAGTTATTCCTGGACAAAAAATTAAAGCTTTTGGAAGCTTCTCTTTTGGGGGATTATTTTGGTCTGTGAATGAGTCAACTAATTTAAGTCAAGTGGAGTGAGTCCATTTTAATTAGGTGATAAAAGTGCTTATGTCTTCATTCAGGTTCAAATAATTGTATCTTATTTTTTTGTCAATCGAACTACTTATTACTTAAACATTAAATATTGGTTGCTTCTAATTGGAGTTTGCATCTAAATGCATCCATTTTTACTAAAGTTGTCGTCTATAATAGATCATCATTTTAATTGTGATTCACATGTTACTGTACTTCCAAAAAGGTTGCGACAATTATATCAAGAATACCAAGCACTTCCAAACTAAATCTTAACATTAAGTATTGAAACTTTAATTTGAACGATTTATACAGTGTTATTACAAAAAAAAAAATATAGCAACAAAATTGATTAATTGCATATCGAATTGCGTGAGTGTTAAGGTAATAATTGCATGTATCTAACACTAATGAAATATGGAAAATGGCATATTCCTTTAGTCAGATATAGGAATGCATTTCGTAGCTCAGAGGAGTCATATCCTTTTCTTTCTTCTTCTTCTGGAAAAAATCATAACTTTTAGGCTTGGACTTAAGGAAAAGAACCAACCATGCTATACAATTCATCGCCTAAAAACTAAAATCCTCTGCAAACAAAAATCCAAGAAGTATAAAAGACTAATTTCACATTGACTAATAAGATATATTGCACAATCTAAAAGAGTAAAAGGAACCATTTTACTTTATATGCATGTTTTGTACGTACAATATATTAACAAGCAAAATCAAAACTACTAAAAAAATTTAAGGCTGGCAATAATGCGTGTTTGTTTGTTTTTTTTTTTTTTTTTTTTTGCTTGTAATTCTATGTAAAAAAAAAAAATGCATGCAAAGAAACTAAAAATTATAGCTATGTTGTGAAGGCGTGATCTTGATAACAAGGCCTGGGAAAACATCATCAGGGTCATGGATATGAGGGTTCCTTTCCACTATAAAGGGGTCACCACACTTGTCACTGATCGTGTGAAGTGTCTCTCCTTCTCCAACCACATATATTTCGTTACAAGGTTGAGACAAGACCTTGCTGCCTCTGAAGCTACCTTGATCCTGAAGCAGAAGCTGAGAACTGTCCCTGAATATGCATAGCAATATGAAGAGCACCAGAAGAAATGCACAGCACCATGAGGTTGCATTAACTATGGCTTTTGAACTTGACATTGGTACCTTTCTCGGGTTGAAAGCCATCACTTAGGAAGAGTGAGTGAAAGAGAGAGAGAGAGAGAGAGATGGATATGATGTGAGGGAGAGTTGAAGCTGTATGAAAGGGACAAGATGCTGTTCTATGTGTTTAACACCTTTTATAAGCCAAAATTCCAAATTACCTTCTTATAATATATATTTTCTTCTTCTTTCGGATATTTCTTTTTATTTTATTTGTTGCACCCTCCAATACTTAGGATTAATGGTTTTCGACCCTGGGTTTTGAAAACCAATGGAATTATAAAAGGTGTGCCGAAATTTTCCAATGAAATAGTTGAACTTTCCAACGGGTATCTACAAACTGTTGTTGGTAGATTCTTGTACGGTCGATGTTTATTCACATAACATTTGAATGAAATTTTTTTGGCACACATGTATTTGATTAGAAGGGGATCCTGGACACAAAGATTAGAGTTACTGTTGTATTACAAAAGAGTCATATACTTGGGTTGTGAAATTAACCCTTCGAAAATACAAGGTAAGACTACTTACAATAGATTCATAATGATCTTTCTTAACATCATCGTCACAAGAGCTTTATATAACTCAGTCTCCCATTTATACATGTTTGAATAATTGAGCTTACAAAATAAATATTAACTGTATTTAATAAAAATCTTTTTATTTTTAGGTCATATAAAATAACATAATATAAACATACATAAGATATCTGCCCTTATTATCTTCATCGAGTTAGATTTCAGTCCCTATAATTTGTTACTTTTAAGTATCTCTCCTTATACTTTCATACACTTGTTGTGCCCTACTGGGAACTGACTTCTTAATAAATAAAAACACAACTAAGAACTAATCATTGGTGGAAAATAAGGACCAATATTTTAACGAATAAAAATTGTAAGGATCAAGGACCCAGTGTATTAATGGTATGGATCAAACAAAATAAGTAAAAATATAAAAATTGATGCTTACAAAAAGTAATGTATAAAAATCAAAACTAAAACCAAAATAGACAAAGACTTTGACACCAAAACCTTATGTAAACTCGAAATTCACATGCATTTGTGTTAACATGTTTAGTATTTGATCATAGCTTTATATTACAGTTTGTGACTATAAGTTTAATGAATCAAAACTGGATGCATTTTATAATTTTTTATATAGTTAAAAAAATAGAGGGGAACGAAGTTATAAACCATTTGCGTTTCACACTGTTGAGGCCACTCAGCTAGGAACTTCTATACAACTTTTGTTTTAACTGGTGTGTTGATTTAAGTGGGCCATGTGGAACCCTAAGGATCACTAATTGAGAACCATGAAATTGTTAGAGGGGCAAAAATAGCATTGATGCCTGTCTTGTAAACATAATGGAGGGTGACTGGGAGATTAGAAGTATGTTGGTATAAGGCTTAATGATTACTCAAATCTTACGCATGCTTAATGAGAGACATTATATTAGGACTTGGGTTTTATATGGTGAGCTGTTGACTTGCAAATGTGGCCATAATTTCATCGCTTTCCATTTTGGATGCCTACATCATTAGTGTCAGTAGCAGTTTATAGTTGATGGAAAATGTGGATAAACACTTATTATCACTTATATAGTAGGTCAATTAGTAATTAAATAAATTTTGAAATGGACCGCTTTGTATAAAAAGTTTTACAATAGGAGATTATTTTGAATTTTTGAAAAATGCAAAAATATGCTTTAAAATAGTAAATTTCGTTTTTAGATTAAATAATTCAAACAAACTAAATTACAGTAAATTTAATTTCAAAATCAATTCAAAAGATGTATAAAAATTGACCCAATTTGCACTTAAAATAACTTATAATCAAATTTTATTGAAGGGTTTTGACAAAAGGAAATCTTCATGCACTAAATTCAATTTTTTGAATTAGAAAAAAGATGACAAAAAATTATATAATTTTTGAACGTGTAAAGAATGCAACTAAAAGCACCCGTGAATAGAATAATAGAGTAAGTTGTATCTTTAAACCAATGAAAAAAGGTAAAAGAAAACCAAGGAAAATTTTGAAAAAAATTATTAAAATGGATCTCATAATAAATCATTTTTTAAAAAATTTAAGTTTTAACAAAACTCAATGGTATCTTATCCATGTAACTGACACTATTTAATGAAATAAAACTTAATTATTATTATTATTGCACTAAACTAAATCGATTTAAATATTTCAAAATCCAACAATAGTAGTCATTCTATAAATTCAGACAAACCTTATCAACTCTACAAATTTAAATCCACAGATCATTCTAAACAAAAATTACCGAAATTCCACTTTTCTGTCCCGACTCACATCTAAAAATTTGTAAATTTTCATTTGATATTTTCTTCTTTTTTTTGAATCTAATTCCTAAAAAATCATTCTTCATTTTTATCTAGACCCTTCTCTAATCTCTCCATTTTTTGTTTACATAATATCTAACCCAACTCATAATTTAACTAAAATATGACATGAATAAAATATATCGGTAGCATCATATTCTTCACATGTTCAAATGAAATTTAATGCTATAAGATTAGAATTATTAAAATTGAGATTTAAGGATATAAAAATATGAAGGTATAGATACGTCACTATTGCCTACTTTAACTTCATACCATATTATATTCGACAATTAGACGTCACTATTAACGAATGAACTGTATGGAGTGAGAAAATATTTTTAAGGAACATTTTTGAAAAATAAAATTAACAATGAGACGAAATAAGAAAAGTCGTGAACTTTTTAGAAACCATAAACTTATTTAAACCTAGACTAAAAATTTAATGGTTCTTAATTATTATAAACAGAGTGTAAAACACAAGTTAAATAACTAGAATCCAGAAAATGAAAAAGGTATTCCATTATCATTAAATATTCTGTGGCCATATTCCAACTGTTAATTTTGCACATATGAAAAGAATATTTCAAGTGCTTCTGAATGTGACAAGATCCCATTATAAGTCTTCAATTAAGCTTTTATAGCAGACCCCACCAACTAAAAAAGACAAATAGAACAGATGAAAAACTTGAAGTGGAGTCGTGCCTCCTCCACCCATTTCCACACAATCAGCAAACCATTCACGTCTTTACTCTTCAGTGAAAAACAGCATATCAACCAGAACCTATTTCTGTGGCTCAAAGACAACCAAAAAAGGGCCAACCTCTTGAATGGTTTGGGCTGTAGCCCCCATTTACAAGCCTATTTCATCAATTAGGCCTACTCCTTAAATGGGCTGGCCCTTGCCCACCCCGTTAAGCCCATTACATTCATAAAACTAATCATGATATTTGAAGGCATTAAATTGTAAACGGAAGGGTAAACTTGGTAAATCCATCCAAATACCAAGCTAAGTTTTCCATCAGATGATATTCTGATCCAATACACCAATCAAAGAGTAAGCTCAAAGGCTGAAATTCATCTCCAGAAAACATTATAAAAAAGTCAGTAAGTAGTCTTTCACCAGACTTTTTCATCTTAAAAGTTACTTTTAAGTTAAGAACTTTTTGGATGTGTGTTGCCTTAAGACTTCAAATAAAGAAAGAGAAGGAGAAACTCTTAAAATTGGCTTATCTAAAAGTTCTGTTTTTTTTTTTTAATGATTTCTTCATAAGAAAAAGCTTTTATTGTTTAGAATGTTTGTAGAAATATGTTTAGCACAATTCTTTTTAAGGAGAAGAGAAACCTAAAATAAGCTAGACCAAACACTAAATAACTGTTAGATAAAATCAACTTTAGTAGGTGTGCTCTGAAGAAGAATGCCCTAACTTGTGCCAACTCAATAGTTGTTGTAGCAATTTTTTCCCATTCTTCATGAACCTCTTGCTGGTATACTATCTACAATTTTTTTTATTCTTGATTCTAAAACTTGTGCTACCTGAAGAAATATTTCCCTTCTAAAACTCTTAAAATGCTCAAACTTGTGCTATCTCTATTTTGTACTGCATATGGATCTGATGAGAACTTTTTTCTGCCCCAATAGATCAGCACAAGCCATGTGAACTAAAATACCAAATCAGGCATGAAATGAGAGGGTGAAAAAAAATACAGATATTGATCAGTTGAAGCATGAATTTGACATATAAATCAAAATCATAAAAGTAAGCACAACAACAAATGAATTATATCTAAGAGGTATTATATACCTGATCTAAGCAGTCAAGCGAAATATGTGAAGACCCATCCTTGGATCTTGGGATGACATCAAATACACCATTTAAACCTGGTTGTTTGGAATAGAAGAAAATGTGAGCAATCATTCCAATGGATAAAATATAAATTCCCTACCAATTAATGTTGCAACAAGAGTCCGGTTAACAGCATTGTGAATATTTTGGTCCGGCAGAAGCAAATCTTCCGTTGTACCCAACATTGTTTACCTCTGTTGGTATAATTTTCCAAAATGATTTAAATCAGATAAAATCACTCAAAAGCATAGTTTTGATAGAACCGTTGCTACTAAAATCAACAATAACTGGTTGATAAACTCCAAATGATTGAGCAAAAATCTCCTCTCGGTGTTATTCATCCAATTAGACAGGGTGCAACCAAAATGTGGGAATTTCAACTATTTTATGAGTAAAAATAACCCAAAAGTATTGCAAAAGAAAAAGGAACCACGTAAGAGAAAAATATTTATTACAAAAGGTTGGAAGGACAATTATGTTAATTTTACTTCGTTAGCTTCACGATATAAAATTTTATCAAAACACTAATCCATGAGCAATAACTTAGAAGATGAGGCCAAATAAGCATATTAAAAGTACACAGGAAGGAAGAAGAATAATGGCCTTTTCAAGACTACAAAAGTTAAACATTGGTTAAAAACATAAGGTCAAAATGAACTTTAAGATATATGAATTGACTAAAACTTCTCCAAGAACAGTCAAGCCACTATGGACTCCAGTTTCTTGGACACAAGAAACATGCATCTGTTAACCATTGATAGTTTCAAACAAATCAAGCACGAAAATAAGTATACTAATTAGCACCAAAGTGTCTAACCTTATACCGTTTTCCCAGAGTCAAAGTTCCCAGCAGCATCTTCATGAAGAAAATTCTTGGTCCTAACAATTACTATCATTTTTCCAGTAGAGCACGAACCATGGTATCAAAAGTTACAGCATTAGGAGGGCAATCGTTATCTACCATTTTCAAAAGTAAGGCCTCTGCTTCATCTAGCAAACCTTCTTTACAAAGCCCATTGATCATAATATTATATGTTCGGATATTAGGATGACAACCTTTCACAGAAAGAAGTTGAAAAATCTCTTTTGCAGCCTTTAGTCTTCCCCCTTTGCAAAGACCATCTATAAGTATGTTATATGTGCGTATATTTGGAGAAATTCCTATGTCAATTATGTGCTGAAATAAGGCAATTGCCTTGTCAAGGTACTTATGTTTGAGATAATCATCCAACAATATATTGTAAGTAATTAAATCTGGAGGTTGACCGCTGGTACGCATCACTTCAACCAGGTCCCACTCATACAAGGTTCTTCCAGATTTGGACAAACCATCAAGAAGACAATTATAAGTTACAGTATCAGGAACTAAATTCTTCTGATGCATTTCAGTTAAGAGCATCATAGCTTCATCCACCATTTTAACCTTGCAATATCCATTAATCAAAGTACTATAACTGATAACGTTAGGCGACGGACCCATTTCAACCATTCTATCAAATACTTCTTTCGCCTCATTCACATTACCACTTAAACAATACCCATTTATCAAAGCATTGTAACTAACAACATCAGGCTTTAAGCCTCTTATGACCATCATTCCAAACACATTACGAGCTTCCACAACCAAACCTAATTTACACAATGCATCCACCAATATATTAAATGTATAAACATCCGGTAACACATTTACTTGTATCATTTCATTCAGCAACTTAACAGCTCCTTGAAACCGACCAACCCCACAAAAACCATGAATCAGAGAATTGTAAGTGAAAACATCAAGAGCAATGCCCCTTTCAACCATTTCAGAACACAAATCACACGCCTCAGTTACAAGTCCGTCTTTACCCAAACCATCAACAACCGTATTATAAATTATCAAATTAGGCCCAACACCAACACTCTCCATCTTTCTCAACAACTCAACAGCATCTCTTGTTTTCCCAATTTTGCACAACCCATTGATCAAAGTGCCACAACAAACCTCGTCAAAACAAAACCCTTTTGACACAGAATCATCATGCAATTGCAACGCCTCCAAAATCCTACCTTTCAAACACAACCCTTTCATGAGGGTAGTAAGGGTAAGCTTATCCAACTGAAAACCCCTCTTAAGAATCTTCCCCATGACAGAAAAAGCAAACCCCATTTGACCCAAATGGGAGAAACAGTTAATCCAGATACTCATGGTGATAATGGAGGGTTTAGGGGTTCCCTTAAACTCTAACTGAGAACAGAGAGAAACAACAGTGTGATAACGTTTCATTCTCACGATTGTTCCTAAAAGCTTGTTAATTTCAACAACGGGGGGTGGGGGAAAGCGGTGGAGCATGCGAGTGAAGGAAGAAACGGCGTCGTTAAATGTGGGAAATTTGTGGAGTTTTTTGCGGGGGCGAGGAGCGTAGAACCTGGTGTAAGGGAGAGAAAGGAGAAAGGTGGTGAGAAAACGAGGTGCGTTGAAAAGGGTAGTTGCATACCTGGGATTGGGATTCAGCATGACATTGGTGTTGGTTGGGTTGTACAGCACAAGAGCACGGAGAAGATATATATATTTATATATCAGTGTAAAAAGATTATAACTCGTTAAATTTAAATGAAAAGTTTAAGATTCAGGTGTAAAAATTTTAAACTTATGCCCTATATATATTTTTCTGAGTTTTTTATTAACTTACGCTTATACTAGTGTTACTCTATGCATCCTTTATATCATTTAATTTTGAGCAATGATTTTATATTTACTTATTTTTATAAATTATATCTTTTTACAAGGCCCGTATGAAGTCAATACTTTTCTTTCTGTTAAGCAATACTTGTAACATATTTTTAACACAATTTTAATTATTACCTAAAATTTATTTAAAAAAAAAACAAAAATTAAATAGATCTTACACATAATTTAATGATCTTATTCTTAGTTTAATAATTTTCACTCATACGTATATAATTTTTTAAAAATTTTAAGTCATAATTAAAAGTGTATTAGAAAGTGTGATGTTACTGCTCTCTTTACTTGGTTGGTATTCTATTTCTGGGCCTAAGTATCCTTTTTAACTCTGTATTCAGCAAAGCTAGCTAAGTATCCTTTTTAACTCTGTATTCAGCAAAGCTAGCTTTTGTGTCCGTTCTCTTGTTACAAATGCTAATAATATACTTTAAAGAACCACAAAAAAATAAGGGGAAAAAAATGAATGCACCATCTATTATGGCCACCATTGTTCTCAAGTACAATTCGTGCAGCTCCTCATGTACGAAAAGTGTGAAAATGTGCATGCAACTATATGCTGGCTTCTTCATCTTTCATTGAACCGCTGAGACTTCCTTCTGTCTGAGAGCAATGCTCTTTCCACTCCAAAAGAAAGAATAACAAGGCATGACTGAGCCAAGGGCTGCTTCAGCAATGGAATCAACTATCTCTATGAATCTCAGACATCCATGTATATGCATGAAAACTCCCCATGTTGGTAGGCCAGGAACACATGAAGAAAAATGCTTTTGGGATTAGAACTATTATTAGCATAAAAATTGAATTAGACCTGTTGCTGATATGAAGATATTGGCAAAATTTGGTTGGCTGAGATTCTCTATACATCATGAATGTTGGAGCCTAGCAATTTCTCCTCCTCTCTTTGAATTTCTGTGAGTTGAACACCGGACCGTGTAATCTTATTCCACTCATTTTCAACTCTAAAAAATACCCACTGGAATCGTCGGAGCATCTCTAAAAGAGTGATAGTAAACACTGTCAGGTAGTTATGGCGGAGATGGGCTGACAATTTGTAAGTCCATGAACAGCGCAGAACAAAGTTGCTTCCAATCGCCCAAAAGTATATCTGCACCTCAGAAATTAGATTTGTCAAGTCCAATAAAATCAACTTGTTGCATCGTTGTAATAAGATGCTGCGGCTTCTTACCCATTGTCGACCATATAACAAGTTGGAAATAAGATTTGGCTTGTTGAACTTGAATATGCGAGAAAAGCCACTGTAAGAAAAGGAAAAAGGATAAAAATCTCAATGTAAAGCAAAATCAGGGTGATTACTTATCATAAAAAGTATAGTGCAGCAGAAAACTAGCATTTGAACAACAAGTGCATCGTGCATATCAATTTGTTTCTTTAATATTATTATAATTTTATCATAAGATTTAAAATTTAAATTTTTTGTAGATGTAATACTTGTATCTGTGCAAATAACAAGTTATGATATTATCAATCTAAAAGGGAAAGAAGACAGATTTGGTACCTTAAATCCCAATCTCTGGTTATATCCCAGTAAAATGAATAGAGAGAATTAATAACACTTGAGAGGAGCCACATTGGTCGATAAAGAGTGGTCCATTTCTCAGGGAGGACATGGTATTTAAGGGCTGAAAGAAAAATTACTGGGACTGCTGTTGAATATTTTAAAGCTGGAAAACAAATGCAAATGGAGTTAGGAACTTAGAATACTAGGTAGGATATCAAGTAAATGTAATGTGACACACAGCCACTGTTTTAGCAAGAAGAAGATTGACTTCTGTGCCTTAAATGATAATGAGTGTTGCTCTTTCTCGACAACCACTCAACCGGGACATCTTACACTTCCAGGAGAGCAAGAGGAGAAGTTACCAAGAGCAATTACCATTGAAGAGGCAATTTTTTTCTTTGGTATCTCTGTACTGGCGAAGACATTGCAATAAACGCCATATGTAAGGAAGAACAAGAACTATAGGTATTGCAACTGAGTGACTACCACAAACTGAATCAGCTTCGAGCCAAGCAATTGTGGCAACCTGCATATTATAGAAAAATAAAAGCATTGTATTCAGTCCCTATATTAAAAATATGGAAGGAAACGAGTTAATTTGCACAGGCAAACGATGGCAGAGAATGGAAAAATTAGTTTTGATGAATCTACCGCATATTATGCAGCTTAGCACCAATTTTATCAAAGATCTACAGCAAATGAGAGATTATAAATGTATAGGAACATCAATGATAAAAAATAAACACACATGCAAAATATAGGTATAAAGTTTTTAATTGCGTGCTTCAAAATGATCTAATGAGTCAGATTCTAATAATAGACTCCTACAAACACATGATACAGAAAATAAACTTTCATATGCTATGCATTCTGTATCTGTTATATTTTTTCACAATACTACTATAAGGTTATTATACCAACACAAAAGACAGATTAAACTCTAAATAACACAAATGAAATAGAGATCAACAAGTTATAATGTATACATGGAAAAAGAAAATTTGATATACCATACCTGTCTGTTTACCATTCTACAAACTGAACGTTCCAAATCTGAAAACACCTGTATGCAATGCACAATTAGGAGCAACAACTAGAAAAAGTAATTGACTCTTACCATAAAAAGACGTCAGGAAAGATCACAATGGTAGGGTTTTTTTTTTTTTTCAAATAAATTATCAAATCAGTGGTGACTGGGTGGTAAAAAAAATATACAAATTTCCAGGCACCTAGAAATTGACTTTTGTGAAGTAAATTGAAAAATGCACCAAGAAATTTACTATTAGGATATGTACTATACCTTTGCCATGGAGGTTAAAATATCAGCCACGAAAAAGTCTGGAAATGTTATTGGCTGTATGATGAAAAGAAACAATATTTGTGAGACAAAATGATATAAATGTCATCCATGAGAAAATCAACAAACAAACTTATAGAAACTAGTAAAATTAACAACCTAAAATATCAAAACCATTGAATCAAACTAGTAGCCCTTAGATTAGTAAATTCACATCTTGCTTTACAAAAGGAATCAAATGCAGATCAACGCTCAAAATTCCATATCAGGCATGAGTCTGTGACAGTGAAGAATCTTACCTGCAAGGGAAAAGCTATCCGCCACAATGTCCTCAAAAAGAAGTAACGAGAAGACAAATAAAAAATATCAAAGGGAAAGATCAAGATTATGGCAACAAGAATGTAGAGAAGCACCTGCAATATCATAGATATATCAGATGATTGGAATATATGGTAGACAAGATGATTCTTAAAGAAAGGATCATAGGAAGCAATCCATTTCATGGCATACACAAAGTGCTACTTCTGGCCTTTAAAAAAACTAATTTAAGACATCAGCTTCTACATGAAATCATAACTAAGAAGCACATCAACACCAACACAAAAAATGACAATTACATATGCATTTAATTTAATCAAAAGAAAATAAAATGCACATTAAAACAAGCCAGTGAATATCACTTCATATTCAAGGAAGCAGTCAAATTCAACTGGTTGAGAGGAGAGAGAAAGCTAGATAGAATGAACAGAGACAATACTAAACTGGTTGAGATGCAGCCAATGATACTTCCCCATGAGAATAGAGATAGAGATATGCAGTCATGCTAGTAGGGACAATGATTGTCATCCAAGTGCTACACTGAAAATAAAATAGAGTTAATGTCAATAAATAAACATGCATACTGGGTGTATATAGCAGCAGCAGCAGCATCAATCCACGCTATTGACTCAACTTCCAGATGCATTACTGTAACAAAAAATTTAAAGTTGATGCAGAAACATGGACTGGAGATTGGACTGTGTGACAAGGCTGCTAGAATCAGTACAATATAACAAAAAAGATAGAGACAAACAGGAAATCATAAGAGAGAAACTTAATTAAGGAACCAGAGACAATGGCATAATTTGTTTTCTAGTGCCTAGGCATTTATTACTTTGATCACCAATATGTTTTAAAGAACCAGATACAGACAAATCCATACTTCAAATATTGATATTTAAAATCAAGAAAAACATCAAACAACTTTCCACTTTTCATTGAATAATGTTTTCTCCAAAATGAAGGCAAAGAACCTGACTACCTTCCATATCTCTTTGTGAGTAAGGTGGTTTTGATCAACATCGAAAACTTTGGCATAGCTTACGCTAGATTGTAGAAATACCCACAAATTTACTCCCCAAAGCCAGACCATCATAGTCTGTAATAGTATAGTAACAACAAAAACCATCAGGTAAAGTTCCATAAAAATTGTGCTCAATGTACTACATGAACGAAAGAATTAACCCCTCACTCACCACAAGAAGGAGAGGGTTGTAATACAAAAATGCCTCATATAAAAACAGATCTCGCAAATTTGCATCCATTCTCATGACAGAATCCCAACCAATCTGATGTAAGAGCAGAAAAAAGCAAATTTAGGTGTGATGAAATAGGTAAATAAATTATTGAAGGTCTTCTCAAGAGATGTTCATATTAGTATCCATAGACAATCATAAGTGTTAATAAAGTGAAAAGACAGGGACCTTGCAGCAAGTACAGCCCAATATCAGAAAGAGTGTCACCTGGAAAAAGAATATACAAAAGATATCCAATTATGATAGGAATAAAAAAAAATTAACAGAGACTTTCAGAAATACTTAATTTCAGTCTGCATAAAAGAACTTCTTTATATAGTTTTAAAATTGAATTCATCTTATCCAACATTACCGAGGAACATCCAAATAACACAAATATTTTAATAAGATAGAGGCTTACAGACAAAACATACTGCAGCAAGTTTTCCACAATAAGAAATTATAATGAAAGTAGAGCACATATCTACAAGCACAAGTATAATAAATAACTTGCAATATATGGCTGAACTTTGGGAGATCCAAGTAGGTCTAATATGAACAAAAACCCAATCAATATAAAGAAACTTGCTAGCAATGCCATTACTACATCTGTCAAAAAGTTTTTGTTTTCTTCCTTTTCCCCACTTTGCTCTTATTTTATTTTTCTTGTGTGCTTTAGTGAACAATATTAATATAACATTTTGTTATAAACCCAATAAACATTAAAAAAAACAAAATAAAATAGTCCAGCTCAAAAGTCCTTCCATTCCCTCAGCAAATCAGGAAAAAAAATCCCCCTGCAGAATGGTATCTGGCACTGAACTTATGAAATCGTGAAAGATAAACTAACAGACCTTGAACCTCCACAGAAAAGTTGGAGATGGCATAGCACTTTGCACAGGCGAAATTATATTCTTCATTGTATCAGCACTGTTGTATTATAGGACCTATAGGTGTGCTTCTGCATAAAAAAATGAAAAAAAAAAAAAAACAACTCAAAATTAGAGTTTGAGAATAAAAGGAAAGCTCAATAACATTTTCAGGGCAATGGAAGGGATAGCTACTAAACAGAAATAATTTTTCCCTTTCTCATGAAATTGTAAAGGACATTACAAAAGTCCACCTTAGAGCCATAAAGCTCCAGCTATGACTGGGTTCTAACTTCAAAGGAAGGGTTGGACCCACTGTATGGGTCCTTTTTTCATTCAGGAATAAGGGCCTGGTCATGACTCAAACCAAAGTGATCTTCAAGTCACATGGTGACAACTTCGACCTCAGTACCAAGGCTCCTAAAAAAAGGGCACTACTTACTATTAATTAAACAAATAAAAAAGGGAAAAGCATGGCCCAGAACTTAGTATCTTCCTCAATACTGGTTGAGGTCACACTTTCTCATAATCCTGATTCATGACAAAAGCCATAGTCCAACAATTAAGCACCCAAAGCTCAATTGAACTTGAGAATTAACAATCATTGCCAAAGTTCTTCACAGGAAATAATCTGTAATTCCATATTGTTTTCAGAGTGTTCAGTCTAAATTGCTTAATATTTGCTTTAAAAGTCTAATACTTTCTTGCTTATAGATCATTAGCACCCATGCACGTCATTGTTGAAATGTAACCCACCCCACTGTAAATTCAGCACACATTAACACAAGCCAGGCATGAAATCTCCATTTATATAATCTCACGATTCACTTTATTAAGCCTCTACTGCTAAATTATGTTCCAAAACATAGCAATGGCCATTGTCCATGGCAAAGGAGGTGTCATTAACTTTTGTTTGTGTATATGAAATATCCTTGACACAAATGATTAACCACAAGTAACAAAAATTATAGCAGTAATACTATTTATCAACCAGGAACTCCTACTTGTTATAAATTTTGAACAGGTAAACTAGGGTTTTCATGTGCTGGAACTAATGGAAGAGGTTAGTCAGCTACCAAAAAGAAGGCCCCCACCTTATGAATGCTAAATCCAACGTTCCACATAAAAAGCCCATCAATTTGGCGTGCACTATAATAGAAGCATATCCAATCCTTCAATAACTTTTAAGCATCCTCACATCAAAATTAAAAGAAATCAAAATCAAAAAAATAAAAGTTCACACATTTAAGTAACATGCACGGCAACAGAAGCAAATCCATTTCCATTTCCAATTCTCAACAAATTTAAAAACCAACAACAAACAAATTAAAACCCAAACAAACACAGCTTTAACAAACACACATTACAGAGTACAAGAACGGAGTCAAGGCCAAAACCCCACGTAAAAAAATCCATCAAAATCAAAACTTGACAACCACCCATCATTCAAAGAACCCCACAACCTCAGAAATTCCGACAATCAGCTTCTGGGGAGGAGCAAACAAACCCAAAAAAATGGTATTGAATCAGATCAATTACCCGTTGTTGTGGTCAGCGTGTGAGTCAGATCTGAGAGCAGAATTATGAGACGCTTTTGAGCGTGAAGGACGGCACATAACAATAGGGAATGATAATGATTGTGAAGATGTTGCGTCAATCTCAGAGCACGTTGCTAACTTGCATTGTTGGCAACGAGATTTGGTGAAAACAAAAAACCGTGGCAGTGTTGTTATTTTACCCGCCACTCTGTCTCTCTGCTACAAAAAAAATTCGCCACAATTCAGAATTATGGATTTCACAGCATATGGAGAGAAAAGGGTTCACGTTTGATTTCACCGGCAATGGTTACTGTGATCATCACACTTTTCTTTTCTTTATTAGGTGAAAATGGAAGACAGTGAAAATGAGAGGAATAGATTAGTACATATTAATTACACTATTAGTTTGTTTTATTTATTTTATTCAAAAATTAAAACCTTTATAGTACCTCTTTTTATGACATTCGAAAATCTAAAAAATGTTCTCTAATGTACTCATTATCTTTGTATTTTGGAAAAATATATTTTGAAAAAATATACATAATTAATGTTTTGATTTTAATATGCATTTGTAAAAGAAATATAAATTATATAATATAATTACTTTGACTAAAAAATCACGATCATAACCATTATTTAATGTCTGAGTTTTTAATAATATATTATTAAATTAAAATGTGTGTTTAATGTATTTTTTTTATTTTCTTAGTTTTCAAAAATGATAAAAAAAATTACATTAGCTATACGTTAATTAAAGGTTTAATTAAAATGACAAGGCTTACAGTTTCCGTAAACTGACTAAAAGTTATTGTCAGATTAATCTGTTGATACAATTGCAATTAAAGATATTTTTCTCACAGATATTGAAAGACAATTTTATATTTTTACATAAAAAAAATCTTTTTATATACGTAAAAAGAGAATTTTTAGGTGCGGTAAGAAAGACACTTTATTTAAAACACAGTGAGACATCCAGCAAGTATATAGGAAGTACCTGGCATCATTCATGTATTTATAAATAAATGACTAACCAAATATTCGTATATCTCTTAGAAAATCAAAATAAACATTTACTTTTCTTTCAGAAAATGAAATATAATTATCTTTTTTCTAATTTTTTAATAATTTATATCCTTAATTATAACTTTTTATTTTTAATCTCAATATTTCAGTATTGAGTATTTAATAATTATAATTTGTACTGAATTAATTAAACCCTCTTAGTTTAAACCTTCACCCCCTCGTATCAAAGTAGGCGCAAACCAGAAGCTGAGTAAGGAGCTATGGCGAGTCCAGAAGAAGCCAAGGTTGAAACTTTCATGCAGTGGCTACAGGTTCGTTAACATGCTTAGTAATTTGAGGCCAAAGGGATAATTATATTAAGCTCTGATATCATTTTATCATGAATATTCAATGTTGTCTTTTGCCAAGTTTCTCAATTTTGATTCGGTCTTCAATTCAGGCAAATGGGGCGGAGCTACGGGGTTGCAAGATCAAGTGCTGTGATTCCAGAAAAGGGTTTGGCATATTTTCTGATAAAGATGTTTCTGATGGTAATATCAATTTGAAATATGAATAGAGTTGAGAGAAGGAGTTGAAGTAATTGCTTGTTAGAGAATAGCTGATATTGTTTTATTGTTTGGAATTGGAAAGTATGTGCAATTCTGTCAATGCCCTTTTATTGCAATCTTAGAATATTAAAAGTATTCACCGTGCCTTGGAAGCTAAAAAAAATGGGCATCTTCAGAAACAGAAAAAAATTGAGATGCTTAGTGTTCTTACCTTATTGTTTATAGCTCTGTGCCTTGTCCATTGAAACAGAGAAAGTAATTCTTGTTTTCTTTGAAAAACAGGGGTTATGTTGGTTGTTCCACTAGATTTAGCAATTACTCCAATGAGGGTGTTGCAAGATCCTCTTCTAGGACCAGAATGTAGAGCAATGTTTGAAGAAGGAGATGTTGATGACAGGTTATTAATGATGCTGTTACTGGTTGTGGAGCGTTTGCGTAAGAATTCTCTGTGGAAGCCGTATGTATGGTTGATTGTGTTTTACTTCATGATTCAGATTATGTTGTGAGTTTCAATTGTGGAGTGGTTAATACTAAATCAGGTACCTTGATATGCTTCCAACCACTTTTGGAAATCCACTTTGGTTTACTGATGATGAACTTCAAGAGCTAAGAGGAACACCATTATATCGTGCAACTGAATTGCAGGTAATTTATCATGGGACTCATGATAACATTAACCAGTTTAGTTAAAAGTGTTCTTTTCTTGTCAATTTAAAGACATTGCATGACGAAAAACAAGACTGGTTATCCCCATGTTGGCTTATGTGTATTTGTTTACCATAATACTAGGGGTGGCTATTCAATCCATTTATCCACTAACCATCTAATTCATCTATGCATAAATCCAAACCACCCAGCTAATTATAAAAAAAAAATGAATGCATTAATTAGGTTGGATCACCATTTGTTATTGGATGGATAATGAACCATCCAATATATTTTGTAATCCATTGGGTTAAATAGTTCAAAGTCTATTAGTTGGGTATAGATCTTCAAGGAATAGGTCCTAAACTCTATACTTTTTAAGAACAAGAATGCATATAAATATTCAACTTTATTAAATTAAAATATTTAAAAAAAAAGCAAAATATAATACACCTTAAATGGATGGATTGGATATCCATCCGTAGGACAAGCTTAATGGTTGGTTTAGATGGTTTTTTATTAACTGAGTTACAGATGGCTTGGATTTTTTAATATAATTTAATGGATTGTAAATGGATTAATGGTTTATTGTTTATTCATCTATTGTGATTCAAATTAAAATTTAATCCAATTCATCTATTTTACACGCCTACATAATATCATAAAGTAGTTCATGTGATCTCTCTATTCTGAAGCTGTCATCTATAATCTTTGAGTAGTAGACTAGTGGTGGTCAATTTGAATTAGTTGTCTTCAGTATATTTTTTCTAATTACTTGAATTGTATTGGAGGAGTAAGCTCCAGATACAATCTGAAAATCACCCAAAAGTTGAACCTTGTTTGTCTAATGTGATCTCCATGGCCATAATGGAGATCAAGATTTTATTTTTGGTTGATTTGACCTTTCAGGTGAACATGCTTAGTTTGTATTTTGGTGTTTGAGATGGAACCAGATGTCAATTGTGGTATTAACTTCTGGCTTACTTAACAGTATATTTGAAAACTGTCTTATCTTGCAGAAGAAAAGCCTGCTTTCTTTGTATGAAACTAAAGTGAAGGATTTAGTGAAGAAGCTTTTGACTCTTGATGGAAATTCAGAGATGTATGTGTTGGGTGAAATTGTATTTTTATTGATCAGTTTATGTTTTCAAAGTGGTTTATTCATAATTGACATAATTTGATGTCTTATGTTTTGACTTAATAAATATAGGATATATGTCAGTTTGGTATTTTGGTTTTGGGGCATTTGTGAAAATATAATTTAATAATCACTAGTTCACTACTTCTCCTCATATGAAAACCATTATGGCATTAAGAATCCGAAGCAGATGTTCTATAGTGTATACTGTGTTAAATGTACATCTGCTTTCTCTAATAAGTCCTATTCTCTCATTTCATTCAGATAAAAGTCATCTGGTTATTGATGTCATAGGCAATGATAATTGACAAGTCTTATGGAAAAATTCTTGGATATAGACCTTTTCAAGTTGTCAAAAAAAAAGTGTAGGTTATAGGATCACATTCAAGATATTGTCTTCTCTTTTGGGCATAGTCTGCGTCTGTAAGTACAAAATTATAGGATTTCATTGATTTAAATGGCTTTCAATACAATGTTATTTAAATCAATCAAATCCTATAATTTTGTACTTACAGACTTCAATACAATGTTATTTACACCTTTACCCTTTCTATTTACCCCTTATCTATTAGTAGTACATGTTATGCATATTACTTGTTTCAGTTGTTTGCTAAATTTTACACTTACTTTGCTTCTCTTCTGTCTGACCTGATTTTTCAGTGAGGTGAGCTTTGAAGATTTCCTTTGGTATGTAGTGTGCTTCTAGTGAATTTTATATACAATTTTAAATAAATCCTTGGAGGTTGATAGCAGACTTGCCTTCTTGCTAGGGCGAATTCAGTATTTTGGAGCCGCGCTTTGAACATTCCAATGCCTCGTTCTTATGTGTTTCCAGAAATTCCAGAAGTTCATGACAGTCACATTCCAGAAGCTGATGAAAAAAGTGAGTCCATATTTTTATTTTATTAATTTCTAAAAACTATTTTCTTCTGTTATGTGACCAATTGAGAGGTCATAATTTAGTGGTTCTCTGAATTTGAGAGTGAAAAATGACATTGAAATAGGGAAGTTTTATTTGCAGGAAGACAGGTTAAAAAATCTGACAATGTAACCAGGGAAATGGCATGTAACACAGTGCAAGGAGACAATGTTTGGGTAGAGGGTCTTGTCCCTGGAATTGACTTTTGTAACCATGGTACATTGGTGCTTGAACCCCTGACATTTCACTTCCCTATCTGTTTTTTAAGTACTTTCCTTTTCTTTTCATCATTGATTTGGTTATGATTGTTTCAACGTTATAAACTGTTTAATATCATGACACAAAATCCATTCTTAGACCTTCACCTAACAGCTTATAAATTTTGGTCTATTAAGTTCTTCACATTATCAAAGCCTCTAAGATCCAACAGCCTAGATGTCAATCCTTCTTGCCACCATTGTGATATTTTAGTGCAAACTATAAAGTGATAATGCCATGTGATTTCTCAACTCAACACTTTCAATCCTTCTATGCATACATGTTTCCTGGCTTTGTGCCAGGGTGAGTTATATTCATGCCATATATGAATGTATCAAATTCCTTATGTGATTTACCTTGAATACATGCCCAATCAGATCTGAAGCCAATAGCAACTTGGGAAGTTGATGGAACTGGTTTAACAACAGGAGTTCCTTTCTCCATGTATCTTCTTTCTGGTTGGTAACTTTCTTTTTTGTTACTTTTCAGCATCCTTGCTAACATCCAAATAAGTGTTTTCCTGTGCCTCTGCAGTTGTAGTAGTTACTGTCAAATTTATAATTTAATTTCTCTCCTCCATTTAAGTAGTTTCATTGTGTAATATCTATGAAACTACTCCCTTTAATTCAATTGTTTTCTTGATTGCAAAGCTGCTCAAAGTCCCTTGCAGATTGATCAAGAAATTTCCATTTGTTATGGCAACAAGGGAAATGAGGTACTTTATGTTGTTCCATGGTTGAAAAAATAAGAAACCATTTTCCCATATTGTTATCTATATTTTAT